AACGTTGGTTTCCTCCGTCACTGAAGCAAGCAAGCCTCATGTTAGTTTCAAGCTGCCTGGCTGCCGGTGGCCATCTTGGCTGTCAGTTAATTTGCATATTGCCCTGATTAGCCAATGGGAAGGGTAGCGGTCGTACACCAATTACCATGTTTCTCTTTTATTAGTGTGGATGTCTGGTGTCATGTGGGTATTGTAAAGTATATGATTTTCTAACTACTTTGTAAAGTATATGATTTTCTAACTGTTATGCTGCTTATATAAAACTAATACAAAATAATATTGAATGTAAACTGTAATTGAAAAAAAACTTTTTAAGAAAGGAAGAACAGGGGAAGAGCCAGGGTGTGAATTCTATGATAGCATACCAAGTTACATTTATATTCTTTGAATGAAGTCTATGAAAGTCAAAGACAATGTTGCTTTTTTTGTTTGTTTTTGTTTGTTTTATTCATTGCTTCTAGCCTAGAACAAGCCATGTAAGAAGGTTTTGGTAAATGATAAATGAATGAATACATGCATGATCACCAGTCCAGGCTATTTGAGAAAAGGTTAGTCTGAACTAGTATAATATCTCAATTATAAATATTTTTTTCATTTGTTTTAATTATATGACAGAAGTAACAGAAAATGGGATTTAGCATTAATAGGTAGTAGACCTAGGGAGATCTGATTTTGTCAGTACACTAAAGCATATCAAATATCATCCTATTTTCTTTTATGCTATATGTGACTTAGAGTTTACCAAAATTAGGATTAAATTCAGCTCCTGCCTGCTTGTAGGGCTCTACTTTTAGGGCTCCATTTTCTCAATGACAAAAAATCCTTTGAATGGTAAAGAAAATTTCTGAACATAGATGGGAATTGTTCAAAAAAATTAAAACTTCCAAATAGGAATTTCAAAAGAGATTTTTCAGAGGAAGGTAGTCAGACTGTCACTGGGCTGAATATCATACTTATTTTCCAAAAGAGAGAAATTTTGAGTTTTGTTTCAATAAAGTGACACAAAGATAAAAGACAAATGACAGGCTGGAAAAAAAGACATAAAATAATTTAATGATGACTTTTTAAGGAAGAGTTTTTGTTTCTTTGGATTTTTATTTTGGTCAAATACTTTCTATTTTTAAAAAATATATAAATATCAAATGTATTGGGTCTGCAAGTTTCAATGAAGAGGCAAAAGTTCATTACTGTTGATTTCAAGATATATTTAGATATTTGCTAAAAAATACTTGTTTATTTCAGGGGCTACGCTAAGTATGAGACCGGCCCCCATTCCAATAGAAGACCCAGAATGGAGACAAACGCCTCCCCCAGTCTCTGCTACATCAGGCACCTTCAGATTACGGCGAGGGAGTCGATTTACCTGGAGAAAGGAGTGCCTCGCTGTCATGGAAAGGTACAGATCTCTTTTTCCTTTGAGCAGTTTTCCAAAGAGAGACACTTTAGATAGATTTGGACAATTTTCATTTCAAACAAGTGATTTGGGATTTAGGTTCTATCTCTAAAAGTATTTCGGAGTAGTATAAATGTTGTATTATTGAAATAATATGTTCTTACCATTGAGAATTCATAAAACTTGAGTTAACATCTATAAATATAATTTGAGAGTCCTCGGTAACTTAAACTTTAGAAGAAATTTAGATTTATATATTATATTTTAGAAAATGTTTGCTGTTTTGTTTTCAACAAAATAATTGAATAATTATATAGGAGGCCACTGAAATTTTCGTAAAAATTTTTCAGTTATAGTTAACATACAATATCATGTTAGTTTTGGGTGACAACTTAGTGATGAGACATTTATATAACATACAAAGTGATCCCCTTCACAAGGCTAGTACTCATCTGACACCACACGCAGTAATTATAATATTATTGACTATTCCCTTTGCTGTATTTTATATCCCTGTGACTATTTTTATAACTGCAGTTTTACTTCTTAATTTCTTCACCTTTTTCACTCATCTCCCCAACCCCCCCTGCATCTGGCTACCATCAGTTTGTTCTCTGAATCTATGGGTCTGTTTCTGTTTTGTTTGTTTATTTTGTATTTTAGATTACACATATAAGTGAAATTATATGGTATTTGTCTTTCTCTGTCTACTTATTGCACTTAACACAATACCTTTTAGGTCCATCCATGTTGTCACAAGTGGAAAGATTTCATTCTTTTTTATGGTTAGGTAATATTCCATTGTACATATGTGCCACTTCTACTCTATCCATTCAAATATCAATGGACGCTTAGGTTGCTTCCCTATCTTGGCTATTGTAAATAATGCTGCAATGAACATAGGGCTGAGTATATCTTTTTGAATTAGTACTTTGGTTTTCTTCAGATAAATACCCAAAAGTGGAATTGCTGGGTCATATGGTAGTTCTATTTTTAATTTTTTTAGGAACCTCCACGGTGTTTTCAGTAGTGACTGCACCAATTTACAATCCTACCAACAATGCACAAGGGTTCCCTATTCTCTTTTATGTACAATTCTCAACAGCACTAGTTTGATGATTTGTTAATGATAGTTTTTGTGACTGGTGTGAGGTGATATCTCATAGTGGTTTTAATTTACATTTACCTGAAGATTAGTGTTATTGAGCATCTTGTCATAAGTCTGTTGGCTATCTGTATCTTCTTCTAGTCAGTCTTTTCATTTTGTTAATGGTGTCCCTCCCTGTGCAAAAACTCTTTAGCTTAATGTAGTCCCATTTGTTTATTTTTTTCTTTTGTTTCTCTTGCTCAAGGAGACATCCAAAAAATATTACTTAGAGTGATGTTAAAGAGTTTATTGCCTATGTTTCTTCTCGCTTCATGGTTTCAGGTCTTACATTTAATCTTTAATCCATTTTGAGTTTGAGAAAGTGTAAAGTTTCATTCTTTTGCATGTATTTATCAGTTTTTCCGAACACTACTTATTGGAGAGAATGTCTTTACCCTATTGTATATTGTTGCCTCCTTTGTCGTAGATATAGGCATGGATTTATTTCTGGGCTCTCTATTCTGTTCCATTGATCTTTGTGTCTGTTTTTATGCCAGTACCATGCTGTTTTGATTATTATAACCTTGTAGTATAATTTGATATCAGGTAATGTGATACCTTTAATCTTGTCTTAATTTCTGAAGATTGCTTTTTGGGGTCTTTGTGGTTTCATATACATTTTTGGATTATTTGTTTTAGTTCTGTGAAAAATGCTATTGGCATTTTTTGTTGTTGTTAATCTTCACCTGGTCATATTTTTCCATTGATTTTTTTTTATTTTTTTTAGAGAGAGTGGAAGGGATATAGAGAGAGACACAGAGAGAAAAACATCGAAGTGAGAGAGAGACACATCAATTGGTTGCCTTTGCACATGCCCAACCAGGACCGGGGATTAAGCCTGAAACCGAGGTACATGCCCTTGACTGGAATTGAACCTGGGACCCTTCAGTCTGCAGGCTGACGCTCTTTCCACTGACCCAAACCACCTAGGGTGTCATTGGTATTTTGATAGGGATCGCATTGAGTCTGTAGATTGGTTTGGTAGGATGGATATTTTAACAATATTAATTCTTCCAATCTGTCCATTTATTTGTATCTTCTTTAAGTTCTTTCTTCTGTGTCTTACACCTTTTCAAGTACAAGTCTTTTATCTCCTTGGTTAAATTTATTCCCAGGTATTTTATTCTTTTTGATGCAGTTATAAATGAGATTGTTTTCTTAATTTCTTTCTGGATAGTTTGTTACTGGTATACAAAAATGCTACCAATTTCTGAATGTTAATGTGTCCTGCTACTTTACGTAATTTATCAATTTAATAGTTTTTTGATAGAATCTTTTGGGTTCTCTATATGTAGTGTCATGTAATCTGCAAATAATGACAGTTTGACTTCTTCATTTCCAATTTGGATGTTTGTTTGTTTTTTCCCTTTTTTTTTTGGTCTGACTGCTGTGGCTAAGAATTCCAACACTATACTATGTTGAATAAATGTGTTGAAAGTGGACATGCTTCTATTGTTCCTGATCTTAAGCAAAAATCTTTCAGCTTTACACTGTTGAGTATGATGTTAGCTGTGTATTTGACATACATGGCCTTTGTTAGGTTGAAGTATGGTTCCTCTGTCCCCACTTTGCTAAGAGTTTTTAATCATAAATGGATTTTGGAATTTGACAAATGCTTTTTTTACCTATTGATATGATCATATGACTTTACCTTTCATTTTGTTTACATAGTGTTTCACGTTAATTGATTTGTGGATATAAAACTAACCTTGCATCCTGGGAATAAATCTGACTTAATCACAGTATATGATCTTTTTTTTTTTTACGTTTTAAATATTTTTTTGTTTTTCAATTATAGTTGACATACAATATGCATTTTAAAGTTAGATAGTAAGGTTGCTGAATATAAGGTCAGTATACAAAAATCAAATATAATAGCAATGAAAAGAATATGAATTTTTTTATTGTTTAAAGTATTACAAATAGTAGTATATATGTCTCCTTTTTCCCCCATGACCTCTCCTTGGCCTCCCCTACCCCCGGCACATGCCCTCTCCCTTCCCCCTCCCCGTGTGTGTCCATTGGTTATGCTTATATGCATGCATACAAGTCCTTCGGTTGATCTCTTACCCCACCCCACCAACATTCCCCTGCCTTCCCAATGTAGTTTTACAGTTTGTTCAATGCTTCTTTGACTCTGTATCTATTTCTGTTCATCAGTTTATGATGTTCATTATATTCCACAAATGAGTGAGATCATGTGATATTTATCTTTCTTTGACTGGCTTATTTTGCTTAGCATATTTTTTTCT